TTTTTTACACATACAAATCTTTTTTACAAGTACAAAATATTTATGACCACATTTTGAGCCCATATGCCCCTCCCTGAACCTGGTTCTGCTGGAGGTTTCTTCCTGTTAAAGGGGAGTTTTTCCTTGCCATTGTTGCCAAAGCGCTTGCTCATAACACTAATGATTAATCAAGATTTAGGAAGGTCAGAGCCAAACTGGTACATCTGTTTCACAACAGATGTGATCATTCTCAGTCCGAAGGAAAGGCTTATGTCAAGGGATTGACCTCCTCAGACTCATCAGATGTATTTTTGTCCACTAGTGGATCTGTATCGTCCTCAGGAAGAGGCTCATCCATATTGCTTTGCTGTTCTGGTTCTTCCTCATCTTCAGCAAAGATATGATATGATATGATCCCCATTTCATACTCATCACAAACATCATGACTTTCACCAGAGCATTTTATAATTTAGTGAAATTCTATTTTTTGTGTCTTTCTGTTTAATTAGAGATTCCTGACAAAGTCAAATAAAACCTTGGTCCAATAAACAAATTTAAAAGAGACTTTTATGCATCTAAAACCTAAAAGCTCGGCAGGGTTTTTTAACACAACAGGAAGGTTTTTGTTTTACCAGTTTCACCATGAAATAGACATGAAATTAACAGCCATCACATTGCCAGCTGTGTGACACCTGTTTTTGACTCCACTGAAGCTCCTCTGGCACAGTTGTTTTTGTGTGCTGCCACCTCCTGGCAGCTTCCTGTCACTGCTCAGTTTGTCCTGAAGCTGAGCAGCTCCACAATGAACACAGGTCAGTGTTTAAAGATGGATATTTATTGAATAAACTGGAATTCATTTTATTAGTCATAATGCTGATTTCCGCTCACACTGGGAATAAAGTGGGTAAGAGTTTGACTCTAGATAGATAGATAGATAGATAGATAGATAGATAGATAGATAGATAGATAGATATACACACACAACTTCTTCCTCCTATCTGCTTATCATCTGTATTTGTGATGGACCATCACCCTGATCCTGGACTGTCAGGCTACCGACAACCAACCAGGACATTTCACTCACTCAGCAGCTCACGTATCATGTCTCACGTGAAGAAAGTTGGAAACGAAACTCAATGGACTGTTGGCAGTTAGCTGACATACTTTTAAAGTGAGAAAAAATGATTTGAAGAAACAGAGGGATAATCTGGGAACAAGACACAGGAGAAGAGCACAGCTGGGAGCAATCACAAACACCGAGACACAAAACTGAAAACACTAACATAACACACAAGACTGTATCCCCAAGGACACATGGTCTAATGCCTTTATTTTTCAGGGCTGTGCCCACTTATACTACACTATATAACTTTATAATACTTATTAATAAAAAGCATAGCATTATTGAGGCACTGCAAATGATCTAATCTTAACAGGATCCACATACGTATTTGAGCAGCTATTCCCCACCAAAAACCACTCACGCCTCACAGACGACAGCTTAGAGTCCTGCGTAAAGATGAAAGTGACTTCGTACAGCCCCGATCTGCTGACACTGTGCGTAGAGGTTCATGAGCAGAAGTCCCATTGTAAACATATCACGGCAGACCTGACGATGTTTAATAACGAAGAAAATTAAAACATTACTGTTGGCCACATGTCGGCAAAGTTATGTGACATTAGTGATGTTTGTACTTTCAGCGTCAGCTTGGTTTTTAAAGCCTTTGCTTTATACGCCGTTAGATAGTCGACCTCAATCTTACAGAGAATCTGACGATTTTGTGGATAATTAAAGTCAGTCATATATCCACAAACACAACAAGCTGAAAGTCAGTGATGCTGCTCAGTTTGCAGTCCTGAATATCACGGCACAAGCAGGATTCACTGCACTGTTAATGTGAGCTATGTTATATTGCTGCCTCTGTTCGGTGGTGTCGAGCCAAACGGACTTTAACGTGTGTGTGAGCGAGCTGACGGTTCAAACTTAATACAGTATGCTCGGATATAAAGCCTGACGGATAGCAGATGGTCAAGATATTGGTGGCACATACGACACGTGTACGACATGGGTATGCTGATATACTTATTTCATACATATATATCTCATAAATTCTTTTTATGCATCTCCCACATTTATTTTGCTGAAGGTGGCATTTAGACTTTTAACAGTGGTTGCACTTTGTGTTTGTCTGTGTAGGACGAGTCCTTCGAGAAATGTCAAAGGGTATCATCACGTTGTTTCCATACTTGGCTGATCCTAGGAGCAGGTTTGGCTATGTAAGTACAAGCTTGGCTATGGGTTGAGTAATACTGAAGCTGGGTTTTTTTTTTCCGCATGTCTTCCATCTGTGCTGCATTTTATATTAACTCTGATAGTGGAGCTATCATTTAGCTCAACTGTAGATGCCGCCTCTGTATCCACCCCTCCTGGGTGTGGAGAGTGGAGCGGATGTACATAAAGAGAGACAGAGTGGTGTCCTCACAGAGACACCAACAGACAGATCTGTCCAAGTACTGCAGATCCACCAGATAGCCTCCTGAACATCAGCTTTCATCCTCCATCAGAGCTGCAGAAG